AACAAAAACTCTTAAAGCAATAGGCTTCAAAAGACATGACAGAATTACAAGTGGATTTTTTCATTTAAACATCTTGTTCGCTCCCCCCACCCCCGCCCAGTTCTGTTATGTTTCTGTCCCTGACACCAAGCGTGCACCAGATGGATCTGTATCGCAGGAACCCAAAAGCTAAACCCCATTCTGTAAACATGTGTCAGTCTGTCATCTGAATGTATATTTGCTTTTATACTCTGCTTTTCTGTGTATTCATAAATCTAGCTCTCTAAAATGTATTTGAAGCATATCATTTAAATAAATGATAAAACTTGAAGCAATGTTTATCAACATAATGCTTAACTGAATTTGTTCTTTCCTGTATTTGTATAATTAGTAAATTACACTCTTTTCTCCTTTTCTGTTAGTATAAGATCTCCCTGCTTTCAAACGGTTATGTGGTGTATAAATCAGATGATTCTTGCCAATAGTCAAGTAAGAAAATATATCTCTAGAATTTCTTGCCTCCCTGACATATTGTTTATATTTTTTCTCTCTGTGGAATGCTCTGCTGCCTTTAATTTTAAGATACATAATTTTGTGCTGCACGAAAAACAAAACAATTCTCAATCAATGCTGGTCATTAGCCACTTATATCTTAAAATGAATTTCAGTCAACGTGACTCCTCTTCCAAGGGTGTCTGTCTATAAAATTTATGATGGAATAAAAAACTTTGTTTTTAATTGAAAGAACCATATGTGGATTTCTTTTTTTCTTCTAGAGGAAGTAATCCTCCTCTCTGGTACTTGCTACCTTGATCCACAGTGAGGTTATTAACCAGGGTCAAGCTAGCCCTGCATATGGGTGTCTTTTATGTACACGCACAGGAATGGCGACATGATGAGTAGAGATATGGCCAGTGTGTGACGGTCTCAAACAGGTAGATAATGTGGGGTGAGCTAGGGGAGGGCATTATGGGCAACTAGGCACGTACACCTCTTAGAAGCAAGAGAGGTCTCTGGGAGGTAATATAAGTAAATAAACTTCCTCGCAGAAGAAATGTTGGTAAGATGGGCCCTAAGTGCAAGACTATAGCACAGACAAGGCTTTTCCCCTATGAACTACAGCATCACATTTTTACCCCAACACATGATAATCTACTGCATCAAAAATCAGAGAGAAGCTGCCAAACAACTATGAAATCATAAATATTTTAAATAATATTTTGGTTTTGAAACAACTTTTTTATAGGAAATGCATTGTATTTATAATTCTATTTATATGCATGTATGCATTGGGCTTCCCTGGTAGCTCAGACAGTAAAGAATCTGCCTGCAATACAGGAGACCCAGGTTCAATCCCTGGTTCAGGAAGATCCCCTGCAGAAAGGAATGGCTACCCACTCCAGTCTTCCTGCCTGGAGAAGCCCATGAACAGAGGAACCTGGTGGGCCACAGTCCACAGGGTTACAAAGAGTCAGGCATGACTGAGTGACTAACACTATCTACTGTAAATATAGATGCATACATTCTATAAACTATAAAGAAATCTGTTTAAAAGAAGATGAAAACATTACTCAAATCCTATCTTCCAGGTTAAAAACGAAAGTTAACATTTTAGAAGTTTAATTTCAGATACCTCACTTTACATATATGAGTAGATAGACACCTCTAACTAATTCAAAGTGGCATCCTGTACTATTTTAAAGCAAAAATATTTTAATATAACTTTACTCAAATGAGAGCAACAATAAAAATATTGATGTTTCTTCATAAAGTGAATTAATTCTTAAAAAAACAAAAACAAAATAAACCCACACTTAAAAGTTATATCATCCAGTGGCCGACTGCTCTGAAAGTTTGTGGAGAAAAAGCATATATCTAATCCCATAGTTTGGTATTTAATATTTTAGATTCTACATCTGGAACATTTACACTCTTTCTACAACTGTAATTCCTAGCTGTCTTGTTCAGTTGCTAAGTTGAGACTGACTCTCTGCGACCCCACAGACTGCAGCACACCAGGCTTCCCTGTCCTTCACTATCCCCTGGGGTTTGCTCAGATTCATGTCCATTGAGTCGGCGATGCTCTCTAACCCTTTCATCCTCTGCGGCCCCCTCTCCTCTTGCCTTCAATCTTTCTTAGCATCAGGTCTTTTCCAGTGAGTTGGCTGTTCACATCAGTACCAAAGTATTGGAGCTTCAACCTAAGCGTCAGCCCTTCCAAAGAACATTAAGAGTTGATTTCCTTTAGAGTTGACTGGTTTGATCTCTGCTGTTCAAGGGACTCTCAAGAGTCTTCTCCAGCACCAATCTAGTCATGATCTTATATTTAAATGATTCACTGCTCAGTCTATCATTGGACCGTGGTTTCTTTATTCTTTTTTTTCACTCATCTCACTGTTGGTTGGGTTGTTTCATATGTATGCCCAAAGAAGTTGCACTCTTGACATAACTTGACTTGCTCAAATTCACTAGGTATAACGTTTCATCAGTATTCTTTTCCCACAGAACTTCCTAAAAAACTTTTTTGAGATTCTGCTTCCTTTCATTAAAGTTGCTTTTGATCTTTCAACATCATGATACTTCTTTTAGGGAATATCACATCCTCTTGACATCAGGAGGTATATGTATTATTTCTTTTCCCTTTTCTATGTTGTCCCACATTTATTAGTACTGGACTGGTCTGCATCATAATTATGAATTTGGATATGGCAAGTTCTCTGTTTCTTGTTTTTTCTGTCTGTATTTTTTTTTTGGGGGGGGGTTGGTTTAGCTTTAGTTAATTTAATGGAAAAGGAATATATTAAATTTTTCATTATTTGACATATTGAAAGAAAATTCTTGAAAACTTGTTTAGTAGCTCAGTTGTGTCTGACTCTTTGTGACCCCATGGACTGTGGCCTGCCAGGCTCCTCTGTCCATGGAATTCTCTAGGCAAGAATACTGGAGTGGGTTGTCATTTCCTGCTCCAGGGGATCTTCCTGACCCAGAGATGGAACCCACATCTCCTGCCCTAGCAGGCGAGTTCTTTATCACTAGCACCACCTGCGAAGCCCTAATCACACAATAAAAAGAATAACTACACAGATACAGAGAACTAGTTGATGGTTCCCAGAGGCAGGGTGTTGAGAGTTAAGTGAAATGAGAGAAGGGAGTCAAAAGGCACGAATTTCCAGTTATAAAATAAGTCTTGAGGATATAATATGCAGTATGCTGACTATAGTTAACAATAAAGTCCTACATATGTGAAAGCTACTAAGAAACTAGATCTTAAAGTCCTCACTGTAAGAAAAAATGTTTGTAACTGTGTATAGTGATGGATGTTAACTAGACTTATTGTGATGATCATTTTGCAATACATACAAATGCATACATGAAATCATTATGCTGTACATTTGAAGCTAATATAATGTTACATCAATTATACCACAATTTAAAGTAACAGCACATTGAAAAAAAATAGCTGATGAATACTACTTTTAAATCAAAGCTGTACATATATATATATATATATATATATATATATTTGAAATTTATAGTCCTCTATCTTTGCCTGTGTATCTCTTTCACCAATTTTTTTTTCTGATTATGATATCTTTATACTTCCAGGAATTTCTGTATATATATTATTCTACTTTTTCCTTATGTATTTTTTTCTCCCTTTTGTTCTTTCTGATTCTCTCTAATATTTTTTTCTCTCTGTTCTGATATCTCTTCTTTCTTCCCATCTTCTTTTTCCCTCCCTCTTTGGGTTTTCTCCTGTTTTCTTTTTTCAGCCTTTGTTCATGCTTTTTCTCTCCCTGTTTTCCTTCCTTTCCTTCCTTCTTTAACTTTTCACATTTTCCCCCCTGAATTTATGATTTAAACTTAGTATCTCCTGTCTTACTGAATAAAAATTATGGTCCCTGTCAGTTAATACATATTTATCTAAGAAAATACTGTATCTTTCCAAGTTGTCATTCATTGATATTTATACCAGGATTTCTTTGAAGCAAAAGAGTTTTAAGTTTCTGTTCTTAATTATCTTCTTTTACCCTCTATTAGCTGCTGTCCACTTTGAAATCATCAATTACTAATTATAATGGTACTATGACTTTACAGTCTAAAAGTCAAATTTTACCTGCAAATATACAAAATTTTTCACATGACTTTATTTTTTTTTTCCATTTATTTTTATTAGTTAGAGGCTAATTACTTTACATCATTGTTCACATGACTTTAATAACAAAGCTAAATTCTGGGCACTAGAGGAGAAACTGCAATGAGTCATAATTTTTCATCCTGCCTTTTCAATAAAACTAAATGTGTACATTAATAAAAGGAGAAAAAGCAGTTAATACAAACTATTCTTCCTCGTGCATGGTACATATCTTTGGAACCTATTCTTTTTAACATCTTTTTACATGATTTTCTGATTAACAAATATTTCCTTAACTCAGAATTTTTATGTCATTTTGAACTCATTATCATATGAACTCCAAAAATTCTTCCTCTTTAATTTACCATCTCTATTTGCAGCTTAAATTTTTTTTCTATATCACTCCACAGTAGTTGTTGCTGTTTGTAGCTCAGTCATGTCTGACTCTTTGTGACCCCATGGACTAAGCCCACCAGGCCCCTCTGTCCATGGGATTTCCCAGGCAAGAATACTGGAGTGGTTTGCCATCTCCTTCTCCACAGAATCTTTCTGACTAAAGGATCGAACCCACATCTCCTGCATTGGCAGGCAGATTCTTGACCACTAGCGCCACCTGGGAAGCCTTCCATAGTGGCTACAAAAAATTCTTCATTTTAATACATCATCTGTTATTTCCAGCCCAATTTTATCGATATCATTCCAAAATAGTGGCTACAAAACAGGCTTACAGGAAGTGTGTCTATGACTGTTAACAGAAGTGGGAAGAATGATTTTGGTTGTCAGCCACTAGCTGCTGTACAATAAAATATACTTTAAAAATGCTGTGTAAATATAATATGTTCTTACATAACACATTTGTTGACAAATGAATTGAAAGTTGCCTTACCCCCTCGCTTGTTGATCTTGGCATAGCCAGGTGAATAGCTCCCAGACATAGAGGACGAGCTACTGAAAGCTGCATGGTGTAGTCCAGACACAAGTGGCTCATCACATTTTTCTGAAAAGAAAAGAAAGCCAGCTTTAATAAAGACTGAATAATCACTGACATGTTTTTGTTAAAATCACTATTGAATACAGTGAAAATTTTAAGGTACATGATACATCTAGCAAACAATCATAATTTATATAACTTAACACTGATGATTCTAATGAACCCTAGCACAATTTCAACAGCCTTCTGATTTTCAAGTTATAGCTATGATAAAGTGCATTATTCCAAAGGACCTCAATGCAGGCCTGCTATCTCAGAATCATGAATGAATTTGTGGCTGTTTGTTTAACAAGATTTTGGATTTGGGGTCTCCTCAAAATCTTCAATTATTTATTCATTATAAGGATTCAGGATTAGAAATATGAGCTTGGAGGAGAGAAGACCAGGAGGAATAATATCCAAACTAAAAAATTAGGAAGGAGATACCAGTAAGAAAGAACACAAGATAACCACCAACACAAAAGCATTGCTGTCTAAAATTTTAGTCAGTTCTCATTACACTTGAGCAATCAGCTGCACTGGAGTTCTAATTTTTACTTCGCTTCTGTGCTGACATGAACTATTTTCCCCCCTCCTTCTTTACTACTGCTGACTCTCCCATTCCACTTTGATGGGTGGTTCTCATCTTCCTAGTGTCTATATACGTTAAAGTGCCCAGGACTCAACTCTTGGAGCTCTTCTTTGCATCCTCTTGGTCTCTGGGAGACTGCATCAGGTGCTATGTCTTATCATATTGCAATACCCCAAATCTACCATCTCACTTTGCTGATCCCCTGTTCCAGGCAGCCACTGGCCATCACTTATGTGACTGCAGTCTTCCTTCCTCCTCCTTTGCCAGAGTCCTCCTGTACACAGCAGCCAAAAGGGCAGTTTAAAAAATACACAGGTGGGCAAGGTAGTTCCTGCACTCAAAATATCCTCTGGCTCCTGCCCTCAGTCACTTGGAATGAAGTCCAAGGTCCCCCAGTGACCCACAGCAGCCTCCACACTGATCGCATCCTCCAGCATCCTTGTCCATTACTGTCCAGCCACCCTTTCCTTCTGACTGCAACTACAGACCTGCTCCTGCCATGACCTTTGCTGTTACTCTTCCAGTGACCTCAAGGCTCATCCCTCCAGGCTCCGTTTAATGTCATCTCTCACAAGGCAGACAAGCTTTCCCAGTCTCCCCACTGCCCTTGCTCTCTGTACCACGCCTCGCTCTATTTTCCTTCAGAGCATTTACAGCCAGCTGATGTGTTGTGTTTTCATGCATTCAATTGTTTGGTTGCTTTTCTCTCCCATGAGACTGGAAGCTTTGGAAATAAAGGTTTTGAGAGTTTGCTTAATGCTTCCTTTCCAATGATCTGAGTGGCACCTGGCACTTGGCACATACTCTAATGACATTTGTAGAAGGGAGGGAGGAAGCAAGGGAGGGAGGGAGGAAGATAGGGAGGGAGAGAGAAAGGGAGGACGGAAGGAAGGGAGGAAGGAAAAACAAGGGCAACTAAACGTGACAGACTCAAAGAGTCTTGAAGCACGATGCTACATTACAACATGACATAGCACCTAAGTTTTAGAGAGATGGCCTAAATCCCCAACAAGTGTTTACACATGCTCAGTATTCCATTTAATATGACACAGAACTACACTGTATATTCGGAATGACTTCTCCCTCAGATATTCACAAACAGGAAGAAAAAAGAAAAAACTAGCAATGGAAGGAATGAACTAGTTTTCTCAAAAAGTCACTCAAGTGGAGTGAAGTCCTCAGTGATCCTGGGGAAATGAATTATTTTTCATTATCTCACCACTCCAGTGTGTACAAAACGGAAGTTAAGAGGAACACATCCATCCTTGTAAAACGCGGATTGCTTACTTTTCTCAGTTATGCTGCGAGTGCCTCTGAGCAACGTGGCATGTATGTGTGAATGTATTCCCCAGAAAGTTAAATGTAAATGACTGAAAACGGGACCATAACATTTATTTTAGAAGTATCAGTTTACGAAGTGAGAATCCACAGTGAAGGGTTTAATATTAATTGTTTAAAAATTTACTATTATTTTAGCTGCCATTGATAACACATATAAAACCCTGATTTTCTAACTTCTGTCAGTCTAACTTTGTACAACTTTTGATGTAAGTTCTGCATTGAACTTTAACGAGAAATTATTACTTCAGAATTTTCCATTATATTAAAAATGTGCTAATGTTTATTCATTTTTATTTTATTCATTCAAATAAAACAAAAAATTATGACATATAGACACTATTCTATACAAAATACACAACCAATAACCAACAAGAACCTACTTTACAGCACAGAGAACTATACTCAATCTTTTGTAAAAATCAATAAGGGCAAAGAATCTGAAAAAGATTCCAAAACACTTTGCTGTAACCTGAAATCAACTGCACTTCAACAAAAAATAAAATACATTTTAAAAAATTTATAGAAGAACCTATGTTGTGCCAGACACAGGAAATGCAGCAGTAGATGAAACTAACAATGTTCCTGTCCTCACGTAATTTATGTTTCAGTAGAAAGTAAAAACTAGCTAAAACAAAAACAAGCAGATAAAAATGTGAATTCATAGGATGGGATGGTGATAAAAACTACCGAGACATGCTGAATATGAATGAGGGGCTAGGAGCTGGGGGTAGGGTGGAGGTTCAGAGAGTTGCAGGCTTTGGGTGCCTAGCCAAGAAAAGTCTCTTTGATTGGGTGATGTCTGACTAGTGACCAAAGAGAAGAGGACATATGCTATGGCAGAGCTCAACAGGACCATGCCAGGAGAAACTTTTTTCTGTCCAAATCTGCTCAGTAGGACTAACCTGATAATCCCTGAAGAAGGAAATGGCCACCCACACCAGCATTCTTGCCTGGGAAATGCTATGGGCAGAGGAGCCTGGCTATATTCCACGGGGCAGCAAAGTCACAACTAAACAACAATACTTGATAATAAGGAATCACACATTATCCCAAAGTCAGTATTCAATGAATATATAGCTCCATGTTACACATGATAAATAATTAAAATGAAATTGATAATTAAGAGATCCATTTAACTTGCTTAAATTTAGAACTTAAATACAGCAGTCTATAAAATCTGAGGATAGTTTATCCTTATTATTTGTTTTTTTAATTTGATTTACATAACAAATTAGTCTTTATACCAAATTAAATTTTTTTCGCTGATTTTTAAAGACTCATATAAATCAGAATAACAAAATTCAAGTAAAACTGAGATCAAGAAAGGTAAGAGCATACAAAAGATTACTTATTTTTTTAAAAGTACCATAGAATTATTATCATACTTTAAGGATCAGATATCTCACAATCCTCTAAGTTGAGACATAATCTATAACTGCATAATTAAGCAAGAAAAATGTCACATGAATTATATGTTCTCCTGAAAGACGGTAGTCACAAATATTTTTTATGATCTTATCCCTTGCTTTGCACTGTTCTAATCACTTTGGGCAATAAAATATCTATCTATGTATCTATTTCCCATTCTTTCATGGGTGGTAACAATATATGGACCCACATAAAGTAATTAAATATGAAACAAGAAAATAATACTAGTCTGTAATTCAATGCTGACTAGAACATAATCAAACTTGAAAGTAACAAGTAAATTAAAAATACAGGACTGTGGTTTAGGTGACCTTGTCACCCCTGGCTTTCTCCTAAGTGTGTGACCTTAGGAGGTTAACCCCCTTTCTACAGATGAAAGTGTGAAAGTGTTAAGTCACTCAGTCGTTCCAACTCTTTGCGACTCCATGGACCATAGCCTGCCAGGTTCCTGTCTCCATGGGGTTCTCCAGGCAAGAACACTGGAGTGGGCTGCCGTTCCTTTCTCCAGAGGATCTTCCCAACCCAGGGATTGAAGCCGAGTCTCCCGCATTGCAGGCAGATTCTTTACTATCTGAGCCACCCTGACTCACATATAATATGAAGAAATTAGCTAAATTTCTCTCAAACTCTAATGCCCTCAAACACTGTCAAGGATAAGAGTCCACAACCATGTCCCCCAGACCAAATCTGGCCCACTGCTCGCTTTTGTAAGTAAAGCTGTGCTGGAGCACACCCCCATTCACTCATTTATGTCTGTATTCACATCTCAGCAGAATGTCACAAAAAGAGGCCACATAGCTTCTGAAGCTAAAGGATTTACTATCTGACCTTTTACAGAGAAAGTTTTCCAACCCCTGGTTCAATATGATAAATATTCCATGTATCCACAAAGAAGAATGATTAATAACCACTACGGTAACAGGTAACATACAAATGATGAATAAGACCTGAAGAATTGAGAGGATATAGATGAAGAGGGTTAAGAACAGCATAGAGAGAGGAAAAGTTTTAAGGCTACAATGAGGATGAAATTTCCCCGTGATGGCTGTAGCTACACTCCACGTGTGCCCATATTGCCAGACTGACTATTAGGATGAATGATCCATTTTTATCTCCAACTGTAATGATAGTTATTACACCTTCCATCTTCCAAAGAGTCTGATTGCTTGTTGTTCTAGAGCATGTGTCTCCATACTCTGCAGACATTAAACATTAGAAAATCAAACAGATCCCTGGAGAAAGTTATGATTTTTATCATAGTGGTAACAGTAGTAGAGAGAGAGGGAGAATGCTAACATTTGAAATAATTTAGCATTGTATTTTGCCATACTGGGATGTCTTCCAAAACTACGGCCACATAGTTATGGCAAATATTTGGTCTCTAGTGTATTTCCCTTCCAGGGAATCCTGGATGAAAACTAGAAGAGCAGATGGGCCTTGAGTTTTATTTTCACACAATTTCAGTCAATCAGGAAGGCAGACTAGCTCCAAGAATTCTGTATGCATTCAAGCTGGAGCAGAGGAAGTGATTGGCAAAGCGAGACGAAATGGCTGTGGCCCTTCACCTCCAAGAGCGTGGCTGAGAGAGATCTTTCTTGGCAAGGGGGCTGGACAGCAGTTCGCGAGGTCAGAGGACTTCGGACCATATATCACTGACATCAGAGAAGCATTCAAATGTTATCTCTGATTAAGAAATAATGTTGGAAAACATTCACCACGTCTTTTAAAATCATAGCACTTAAATATATGTTTTATATCACACATTTGGAAATGCAAGTAAATACCCAGAAAATAAGAATGACAAAGAACTCCAGAACCAAACAGTCCTACCAGGATGGAAATTCTGTTTTTTTTGTTTTGTTTTGTTTTGTTTTAATTGGAGTTGTCTTACAATGTTGATTAGATTCTACTGTACAGAAAAGTGAATCGGTTACATGTATATCCCCTCTTTTTTTGAATTTCCTTCCTGTTCAGGTCACCACAGAGCATTGCATAGTGTTCCCTGTGCTATACAATAGGTTCTCATTAGTTATCTGTTTCATACATCATATCAGTATCATACGTCATATCATAGCAATACATTGTATCCATCCCTACATCTCAATCCATCCCATGCCTTCATTTCCCCTTGGTATTCATATATTTAAATTCTAGCAACATTTGATTCACATTCAGAAAAAAAAAAAGAGAAAACATTGTAAAAGGCATATTCTCAGGGGGATACATCACACAATGTTCTCTACTTTGCATGCATTCAACTCCTGACTCTGAACCCAGAACTGCATGACCACCAGCCTCAGGTTTCATGGCTCCATGGTCAGGGCCAAGTTGAGAGCCCATACCTCCCCCTAAAGCCCTCTATTTCCAGTCAGTAGCCTCCTCCCTGGCTCCTTATGGCCAAAACTGTCTCAAACTGCAAGCTAAGTGGTTGTACTAATTTCCTTCTCTGGCTCCCCTAAGAGCATCTCAGTTCCTCCCAGAGATGGCCTGTCTTTCCCGTGGCGATACTCATTTCAAGGCCTAGACGCCCATCTTGGTGGGCACCCCAGGACTGCATGACACCTCCCACTCCTGATTTTCCTTCTGCTCTGCCTGCCCCCCAAGGTGTCCAACGACAGCCAGTCGGTGTCTTTCTCAGCAGAGTCTGCAGCTGCCTGAGTCTCCAGCTACTGTGGACGATGTCATCCTCTGCGCTGTTTCCCTGACTTCCTGGACAAAGCATGCTTTGTCTACACTGCTTCACACTGGAAAATTCTTTGGACAGATAAGGAGCTATTTCTTATCTAGCCTAGTGGATAGTTTTAGGATTTGGATGAAAAAGAGACTGAAGCCATGACTTAGGTGTGTTTCCTGAGGAATCACTGAGATTAATATAGTCCCGTAAATGCTTCACAAATTATAAGGAATGTCGGTTTCCACACTCAGACCAAAGACTGGCATGGGATTTAGCACTGCTTTAGAGACTGTATTCTCAAGACTATGATTTCATGTGTGTGTGTGTATGTTTAATTTTCTTCTCAATAAAGAGAAGAAGAAAGGGAGGGAGGGAAGGAGGAATGGATGGAGGAGAGAAAAAATGAGAGAAAGAAAACAAGAAAGAGAAAGGAACAAAGGCACAGTACCAACAATAACTTCACAATCTGTTTCTCTGCAGCTACGGCAGGCCTGCTATTTTTATTCCCTATAAACGCAGGCGACTGGTTCCAGAAGGTCTTTGTTTTGATGCACTTAGAAAGATGTTGCTTTGTCTTCTTTCCTCAGCACACATTCCTTGACTAGGCTCTGCATTTTTCACCTCAGAACTTTGCTAACTTCAGCATTCTATTAAAAAACCCAAACAAACTGAGCTCATTCTATATGCCATCTGTGGAAATCCCACACCCCATTTACTTTTCTCTATGGAAAAGGTGTAATTCTACCTGGGAGCCAAATGTCTTTGAATTAAATAATTTACATATACATTTTGATGTTTAAATATTGCATTACTCCTTGAATGTATAGTGAGTACCAGAAACTGAAACATGACATGCTCTTCCAGTATATTTGATAACTTTTTTTCAAGTTCAGTTATTTTAACTTAACCTGATCTAATAAATAATTTCTAGGATAGTTGTGATTTGCAGAGATTCGTATTAGACTGCAGTTTTCCCGATATTAACACATGGAAGAAAGCATGCTCTTTACAATTTAAAAAAAAATGATATTTTATTACTAGGGGTATGAATTTGGATGACTAAGTTCCATCTTATCCAGAGTGTCTTCAGGTTTTTTTTTTTCATTATTTCAAATGTCCATTTCTAACTTTGGATAAGTTTTTCTATGATTTCCTATGTCATAGCAATAGAAAGTAAGTGGTTTAAAAAATCATAGGAGAATTCTGGAAAAAATGTTTGCTCTTCCTTAGGGCAAAATACTGATGACTCCAACTCAACTCTAATTTTATATATCTTCATTTTCATCATAATTTCCTTGCATATTTTTTATGATTCATACATTGTTTTGTGTACTTCTTGCTCAAACATCGCTGGCCTACTCTTTGTCACTGGAAATAAGATCTTTTTTTTTTTTTAATTTTGCCTGATCTTATAAAATTCCATATAATACAGAGAAAGAAAGGATCCTCACAATCCATAGAAGTAATCATTGTTACTAGTTTTCACATACACACACACACATACACTCACTACATTTGATACACACATATGTTTAAATGGGTGAGAACATTGACAATCTGGTCTTTAGCATACACGGACCTATCAAGGAAACGTCCATACAAATATTGCCTTGTGTTTTAAAATAAAAATAAATATCGTTTTGTATTTCATCTTATGTAGGGATCTTTTATTATTTACATCTGGATCTTCATAGAAGGGTTAAACTCCTTTGCACAGAAAATACAAGAATGTTAGTTCATTGGTAAAAGAGATCATATAATTAAATTGAGAATCAATTGTCCTTTCATGCACTGTATGAAGAATTAATCTAGTTTTCTTTACCTAAGACATCTCACAAAAGACATGAAGCCAGCGGTCGTGAAGAGAAGTGCAATTAGTTTGCCGTTAAATGCTAATTTAGAAAAAGGTAAAGATAATAAATTTGGAACTAACTCAACTGAGTGGACATATTTTACCTGACATATAATGAAAATCAATAAGGGGTAAAAGGAAACCCATCTATCCCCTTTATCTTCTCACTGAATCTTCCCCTCTTTACAACTCCAAGGAGGGGACCCTATTTTCCCTTTTGTTCATTTCCATTCAATGGGAAATAACCAAACGTGCTACCATATGCATTACAGTAGCCTTGAATTCAATGAGGCAATTGCCCCTCTTCCATCTCAGTAGCATAAATAGCAGAAACTATTAAGCCAAAATCAGCAAATAAATAGTAATAGCAATCATTTTTGAGTACTTACGGGGCAGGCAATGTAGTAAATATTCTGACAGAATTCTCTCAGTGAGTTACTTTATTTAGTAAGACTTTGACGTTGGTATCATTACCATTATATAGATGAAGAAGCTTGAGACATCACAGTTAAAGAATAATAGTGAAAGTGAAGTGAAAGTCGCTCAGTCGTGTCCAACTCTTTGCAACCCCATGGAATTTTCCAGGCCAGAATACTGGAGTGGGTAGCCTTTTCCTTCTCCAGAGGATCTTCCCAACCCAGGGATCAAACTGGGGTCTCCTGCAATGCAGGCGGATTCTTTACCAACTGAGAGCTATCAGGGAAGCCCAAAGAACAATAGAACAAGGACAAAAGCCAAGTTGTATATGATTACAAGCTTTTGAGGTCTACCATCTCCAAGGTCACTTTGGATAAAATCTGAACATGGATTTATTCTTGAGTGTGTAGATCTCCTAATAAATATGAAATGGTCAGATTTTTCTTGCTGTTGTCTTTTAGCCACTGAGTCGTATCTTGACTCTTTTGTGACCCCATGGACTGTACCCCACGCAGGCTCATCTGTCCATGGCAGTTTCCAGGCAAGAACACTGGGGAGGGTTGCCATTTTCTTCTCCAGTGGATCTTCCCAATGCAGGGATCGCACCCATGTCTCCTGCATTGCAGGTGGATTCTTTACTGCTAAGTCATCAGGGAAGCCCAGATTTTTCTTACCACTTTCCATTTTGATCCCAGGAATTTACTTGAAGTGATGCCCCCCTCTATCATGCAGCATTTTAAGGTCTTCTGTCCACAACAGACCCATATCTTTCAACTAAAAGGAAGAGACACCCGCAGTTTTAAATAGATGTTCTCAGAGAAAATCATACAGGATCAGCATTTCAGCTCATATGCCTATATCCAATAAATATAATGTTCAGCACAGTACATCAAATTTATTCCATTTATTCATGTAATAAATATTTATTGGGCACTTATTTCCTGCTTCAACCTTTATCCCTTCAAGATCCATTTTCTTTGCACTTGCTGGATGGATCTTTTAAAAAGCAGATCAGATTATTCCTGGCCCTTGTTCCTGAGGGCTTCTCCTTGCATTGAGTATGGAACCCTAACTCCAGCAAAGCTTGTGATGGCTGGTTGTGAATGATCTCTGGAGTTATCTTATTTCACTCTTCTCCTCTGAGTCGCTAAGCTCCAGTTTAACTTTCCTCTCTCTTTTTCAGACACACCAAGCACATTCCTGCTAAAATGCCTCTTCCTCTCCCTGCCTACTGGCTGGAATTCTCTTCATCAGCGCTAAAGAAGGCAGACTCCTCTCTAGACTGCCCCCAACTCAAATACCAGCCCACTCTTTCTCTGGCCAGCGTCTAAATTCACCAACTCAACTTCCAGCTTCATATCCTCCAGACATTACGGTATTTGATGGCACTGTTTTATTTTGTTCATAGCACCAATGATAATCTAAAATATTCTCTTTTTACAATAATCATATAAAATGAGTAAATTCTTAGAAAAATATGTTTATCACATTTGACTCAAAAAAGAAGTCAGACACCTCAGTAATGACATAGCCATTAAAGAAGCTGAATCAGCAGCTTAAAATCTCACAAACAGAACCTCAGGCCCTGTATAGTTCACAGGCAAATTAAACCAAACTCCCAGGTGGCGCAGTGGTAAAGAATCCGCCTGCCAATGTAGGTGACACAGGAGACAAGGGTTCAATCCTCGGGGAGCAAAGATCCCCTGGACTAGGAAATGGCAGCCTACTCCATTATTCCTGCCTGGGAAATCCCTTGGACAGAGAACCCTGGGGGGCTATGGTCCACGGGGTCACAAAGAGTTGGACACAATTGAGTGACTAAGCACACACAAATAAGTTTTATCAAACTTTCTTTTAAAAAATTACTTTTGTTAGGTAGGCTGTTTTTAACTTCTTATATTGGAGTATAGTTGATTAACAATGTTGTGTTAGTTTAGAAAATGAAAATAAAATAATCCTGATTGTTTATCTTTTAAAAATGTTTATTACTTTTCCGAATTGCCTGGGATCAGGGCATGTGCCTGTCCTGTTGAGCTTGGATTCTCAGGGCCTAAGAATCTGGCATGCAACATGAATACATATAAGGCTGTTGCATCAGTGCATTACTGACAATGACAAGTAATAAATCCATCTGAATGTGAGCAGGGCAAAATAGTTCCTAGGTTTTGGTAACTGAGATGTCTTCACTTTATCTAATGGACATTTTTGCATTTTCTCATTTTTAAAAAATTGCTTGTGCAAAAAGGGTTGGCTTTATCCCATGATGTTATATGCAGAGCTTCTTCACTATATCCAATGTAAGTAAGATCATCTCTCTGATCTTTATCAACTTAAAATGATTTGTCATTTGAACCTTTGTATTATACTGAGGGTTTTTCTACATCATCAGGACACGCC